AGGTGTCACTGAATCGTGTCCTGCTGGCTGAACAGAAAGCTCGGTAGGTGTCATGTTAGGACAGTAGGCCACCCAGTCCCTTGCTCAGCTAACCACTGGCTGGGTTCAACTGGGGAATGCCCTGCCACAACCCCTACAGCTGTAAGTTAAACATTAGGCCAGTTGGACATGTTATGACAGACTAGCGGGCCTCTGCTAGAGCTCCTGTTCCTCCACCCTGACCCTCACACAGAGCCCCTTCTTGATAGCACCCATCCTCTGGTTCATGAAATTACCTGGAAGGTCCCAGAGCTAGCAACCAGGTCTCCTCACTGACCAGTGCTAAGGGACAATTTGAGCATCGATATGCAGGGAGGCCAAGGTGAGCTTGGAGGAGAACCAGGCTGGGGAGCTGGCCTCGTATGTCCACGAGAATCTGGAGGCTGTGCAGATGGCTGGCAAGCTAGCCCAGCAGGAAATGCAGAGCGAACTGCAGCTGGTAAGCGGCTGAGGGTGTGGTGGTCAGCAGGAGTGGTGTATGCAGGCATCTAGCCAGAGACCCCCGACCCCATGCTGTCTTGTGCAGCTCCAAGAGAAGAGCCAGGTCCTAGAGGGGTCGATGGCCCGGCTGGAGCAGCAGCTGAAGGACCTGAGTGACCACTGTCTAGCTCTGAACTGGAAGTTAGACCTGCAGGAGCAAACATTAGGCCTGAAGCTGTCTCAGGTGAGGTGGACAGGCCCATAAGGAAGGGCAGTAAAGATGATGGGACCAAGGGTAGAGACCTGATCCTCTGAATCAGGCAGAGTGGCTCCAGTAATCTTGGCCCCTTGCCATTGTCTCTGTCTCTGTCTCTCTCTCTCTCTCTCTCTCTCTCTCTCTCTCTCTCTCTCTCTCTGTCCTCTTTCTGTCTCCTTCCTTCCAACAATTCCTCTTTCAGCCCAGCAGTGGTGGCTGTTTGCTTTAATCCCAGCACTTAAGAGAAAGAGGCAGGTGAATCTCTGTGAGTTCTAGGCCAGCCTGGTCTACACAATGAATTCCAGGCCAACCTGGAAACCCTGCTTGATGGGGGCTGGAGAGATGGCTCCGGGGTTAAGAGCAGTGGCTGTTCTTCCAGAGGACTTGGGTTCTATTCCCAGTACCCACACCTATCTGTAACTCCAGTTCCAGGGGAATCTGGTATCCTTACACCAATGCACATAAAATAAAGTTAAATAAAGTATTAAAAAAAAAGAAACCATGCTTGAAAAAGAAAAAAAAAATCACCTTTTGCCATGCAGTGGTGGTACATACCTTTAATCCCAGCTCTCAGGAGGTAGAGGCAGGTGGATCTCTGTGAGTTTGAGGACAGCCTGGTCTACAAAGTGAGTGCCAGGATGGCCAGGGCTGTTACACACAGAAACCCTGTCTCGGAAAACAAAACAAAACAAAAAACTGGGTTTTGTTTGGTTTTATATTTTATTTGAGTTTCTTTTATATATATTTTATGTGTGTGAGTGCTCAGACCAAAGGAGGGTGTCAATCTCCTGAAGCTGAAGTTAAAGTGATTGTGAGCCACCCAACATGGATACTGGGAACCAAACTCCAGTCCTCTGGAAGAGCAGCAAGTGCTTTTAACTGCTGAGCCATTCCTTCAGCCCGTTATTTTTTTTATTGTTGTTTTGTTTTTCCGATTTTTTTATTTTTTATTTCATTTTACATTCCAACCACAGTTCTCCCCCTCCCACCCCTCTTCCTGCCCCCCTTGCTTCCTCCCACCCCTCACCTCCTCCCATTTTGTTTTGTGTGTTAAGAGAGGATCTTGCCATGTAGCCTAGGCTGGCCTGATAGTCAATTTTCCTGCCTAGCCTCCTGAGTGTTAGGATCATGTGTCTGAGCTCAGCCCTAACCCTAACTAAAACACAATGGTTTTAGTACATCCATAGAAAAGCTATCAGCCAAAGCTATCTCATTACTTCAGATAGAAACCCCAGAGTCTAACAGTCTCTCTTCTCCCCCTCCAGCTCTGATTTGTGTGCTGTAGGCCCTTCATCCCAGCCCTGTCATCTCAGCCTTCTCTCTTGAGTTGCCTTCATGGGTCATCGCTGTTGTGTGGACCCATGCTTTATCCCTTTACAGCTGGGTAACATTCCCACAAGGGGACAGGCCATGCTTTGCTTGCTCCTATGCTGACAGACATGGGCTGTTCTCCTTTATAGCTCCTGTGAATATACACCTCTAGATCCCCCAACTTTGGCTGGCTCCGCATCCCTTCTGGGCATGTACGGCCAGAAAGAGTAACTGCCAACAGGGTCCTTTGACCACAATGTTTGTACCCTCCTACAGTGTGGCCAGTCTCTTCTCTATTCCTCTCACTGCCAGCTGTCACCTCCTCAACAACATGGTTCTGTTCAGCTGGATGGCTTTGTTGGCTGGGAAGACCATAGGTCTGGCATCTCTGTCCTCTGCAGTGTCTGGCCAGGCTGTGTATATACAAACCATGCCAAGATGCAGGTCTATATACAAACATGCTTAGAGTCAGAAACTCTGCCTCTGGCTTCAGTCAGCCCTGTTTGTGTACCATCCCTCACTGGATGTTGAAATTGTAGGTGCAGACTGCATGGGAAGGCGTGGAGCAGGATTCCCTGCAGAGTCTGACCCAATGCCTGAAAGAGATCTCAGCTCACTTGCAGGAGATGCAAGAAAAAGTGAACAGCCTGCCCCAGCAGGTGGGTAAGGCCGGGGTGCAGCTAGCCTTGGCTGTGCTTGAGCTAGCCTGGTACTCCCAAGTGGCTATGCTGAGTCATTTGGGGTTCCTACATCTTCCACATTTCAGATAGAAAGTATCTGCAACAAGTGTGTTCTTCTCAAGAGTGATGTGGACCTGAAGATCTCTGCTGAAGGCAAGACCAGGTGAGTTTGAAGCCTCCCAGGCCACTGGGAAGCACAGAAAGTTGGGACCTCTTGATTGTCACTGATCCCCACAGTACTCCTCTAAGCCCTGCACCTCTGCACCAGTGTTTGCCTTGTCCCCAACCAGTCCCACTCTGAGCTCTATCTCCTGTGGTATAGCCTGTATGCACTCTCAAGTTTAGCCCTGCGATAGATAGTCTTGCCTTCTTCCTTGGGCTCTGGGACTCCCCTACAACCAGCCCTTGGTGCCCACAGAGAGTCTGAGGTTGAGGCTGTGCGACAGGAGCTAGCCACCCTGCTGATGTCTGTGCAGTTTCTGAAGGAGGAGAACCCTGGACGGAAGATTGCGGAGATCCAGGGCCAGCTGGCCACGGTATCCTTTGGGCCCCAGGAGGCCACTTGCATCCATTTCCCTAACCTCCAAATGTTGGTGATTCTGTAGTAATGGGTACATCTGGACATCAGCAGTCCATGTCTACCCATGATTGGAGCTGTGTTTAGTTTCAGAAGCAAATAATAAAGTTAGAGAACAGCCTCCAGGCCAACAAGACCATCCAGAACCTGAAGTTTAATAACGAGACCAAGCTGGTGAGAAGAAACTTGAAGAACCACTGACCTCTCGCCCCAAGTCTCTCTTCTCCCGTCTCCATGGGGACCAGGCAGTTTGCTAGCTGGGTGGTGCTGGACAGTGTTTCCTGGAGATGAGGGCCTACTGCTGGGCTTCCTCCACAGAAGATATTCCCACATACACACATCTTCTGCCCACCTGTGATCCAATCCCCGTTTCTCTGCAGTTGTCTCCCCCCCCACCCCCCGCCATGAGTCCTGTTAACATGCTACCTCTACATTTGCAGCGCACAGAGGAAATTGCAACTCTGCGTGAGAGCATGCTGAGCTTGTGGAGTGAGGAGGGCCCCTGGCCACTGACACTGGGCAGCAAGCGGGTCTTCATGTCCCTGGTGAGGCAGCGGTTCTTCATCAAGGACCTAGCCCTGGGCGAGCTGCTTCCTGTGAACTCCTGGGGCTTGTATCAGGCTGTGAGGTGGGCAGCTGAGAGCCTGGGTCTCCCAAGGGTAGCAGCCCAGCCACAAGGAGGCATGTTGTGTATGAGCTGTGTCTCTGGCAGGTGGCTTCAATGGAAGACAGTCCTCTTGAACTTGGTGGCCCAGCAAAGGCCAAGAACAATCTCAGCGATGACCCACTGGAAGCCTGCAGCTGAGATCATGTCTCTGACCCTGTCCTAGAAATAAACACGCCAGTTTTTTTACCTACTGGAGCCAGAGTCTCTTGCTATCTGATAGAATAACTTTTCCACGGCTCATAGGCCTGGCAAGGGCATCAAGCAGTGAGAGGGAGCAAAATCAGAAGGCCCAGGTTGTTTGACCCTGAAGGATCCATCCTGCCCTGCTTAGCCCCAGGCACTTTTATCACCTTTCCTAGGCCACACCTGTCAGGACCCACCCCAGCTGCCTGTGAGGGTCCTCAGATCAGCCTCACCCTTGCCTAGCTGCCCATTAACACTGAAATGCCACCGAGGAAGCCACTTGTGAGCATGAATCAGCATGTATGTTTCTTTGTGTGATCGAGCAGTGACCCTCTTCTAGCCTCTCAAGAAAACCTGCACTTTGCATGAAGCTCCCAGTCCTTGCTACCAGCCTTGCTGAGGAGATGGCACATAGAATCATCAGCTCTGGCCCTACAGAGAGAGACAGTGGAGAAGGCTGGCCTTGTTTGGTCCCCAACCCAGCTACCCTTTGCCACCTTGAATCTTGGAGCTAGCCTGGTAAAGAATGGGTCTCCCCAGAGGGACATGTGTGCAAGTGACTCACAGTTCGTGCCTGAGGGAAGAGTTCTGAGGCCTGCTGTATATAGCCGGGTCCTTCAAGAGCTGTAGCCAGATATGGCCAGGTCTAGACAAGCATTTGCTCTCCCTATCCAGTGCTGGTGGCAGCAATTCCAGGCTCAGGATAAGCTGAGATCCTCTTGGGTCTGCTTTCCTCTTGAGGTAAGAGCCAAGTACATTGCTACTTGGATAGACCCATGAGAGAGGTGCCTGGGCTACAGGAAGAAGAGGCTGGGTGTCTTAGCAAGGGTCACCACTGCCTTAGCACACCCCTTCCCTGCCTACTCACTACACCTCAGTAAGCTGTGTTCCCTCCAGGGCCTGGGGGCCTCCACTCTGCAGCTCAGAGCTACTCTCAGCAGACCAGCTGGCCAGCAGATCACTAAAATCTGGTGTGTCAGGATGCAGTAGGCCTAGTGGGTTGGGTACAGGCTCCTTCCAGAAGGATGAAGGCAATTTCCTTTGGGTCATGGGGGTAATGTGGCTATACTTACGCTCTAGCCTCAGTCTTTGACAAGCTGACACTCTGGGCCTGGAGAACTGCCGAAGCCCATAGTCAAAGAGCTCAGCCAGGGGGCCCAGCGGTGGCACCCTGTCTCCTCTGTGGCCCAGCCTGTGCACCTGACCCTCAGGCCCCCCAGGCACATGCACACTGAGCTCAGCAGCCTCCTCATCCTCTGGGGACCCATCCTGGGCCAGGCGTACCAGGTCAGCATAGTACAGGTCCCGGGCAGAGCAGCTGGCTGGTTGGCTGTCAGAATAGACATCTTGGGCATCTGGGTCTTGCCCTGTGTCCTTTCGTCCAAAGTACCGCTGAATGTCGCCACTGATAAGCTCTGAGAAGCGCAGCAGCTGCATTGGGGTCTCAGGACTGCTGGGACTCTGGGGGGCCACTCCTGAGCTCTGGGAGTCTGGGCTGCAGTCCTGTGGCCCCTCATCTTGCAGCTCCTGGTATCCCTCTTCCTCGTCTTCCTCCTCCTCTTCTTCTTCTTCAGAAGTTTCTGGAACCTCCAGATCTGTGGGCAGGAAGGGCTGATGTGATGGTAGGGGCAACCGGAAGTCACAGACAGACCGTATCACACCAGCAGCCATCTTGTTGAGGTCCCCCAAATTTGGGGGATGGTCCTGGGGTAGCAGACACAAGCTAGGAGGGAAGTAAAGGGGTGAGCTGGCAAGTTAGGACTGGCAGTGCCCACTGGACACAGCCTGAATGTGTGACCCGGGAAAGGCTGCCTCGTTCTTTCCTCTCCTGATCCCTGGGCCTCCTGAACTCAGGGAGATAGGTGGACAGGATCCTCTGGTGTAGGTGGGGCCATCGTGGTACAGAGGAACTATTAGAACCACCACAGCTGTGGTCACTCAGGCCACAGAATATGGTAGGAGAGGCAGAAGTCCTAGAGAGAGAAGTACTACCTGGATAGGCAGGGATCACTGTGGAGACAGGACAGCACCTTCACCGGTCCAGAACACTGGCAGATGCTGTGGGGAGCTTCAAGGGCTGTGGCAGTCAAAAAGCCCCACCCAACCTGGTTCTTACCTAGCTACAGTCACAGCTCTGCCTGCAGTTCTTTTCTGAGGAGGGACATTGTAGGGGTTTAGTTTTTTTTTTTTTTTTCCTGCTTTGGTTTGGTTTTCTTTTGTTTTGAGATAGGGTCTCTCTCATAGTCCTGGCTGTCCTGGAACTTGCTATGTAAACTGGACTGGCCTCAGACTCACACAGACCTGCCTGTCCCTGCCTCCAGAGTTCTGGGATTAAGGGCATGTGCCACCATTCCTGAGTAGGGATTCTTGTTTTTTAAAGAAAAGCATCTAGCTGGACAGTGGTGGTGTGTGCCTTTCATCCCAGCACTCAGGAGGCAGAGGTAGGTGGATATCTGTGAGTTTGAGGCCAGCCTGGTCTACAGAGTGAGTTTCAGGACAGCCAGGGCAACACAGAGAAACCCTGTTTTGAAAAAAAAGGTAGCTGTTTTCTCAACCCAGGCATGGTGGCACATGCCTTTAATCTCAGTACTGAGGAGGCAGAGGCAAGCAGATCTCAGGATTTGAAGCCAGCCTGGTCTACAGAGTGAGTTTCAGGACAGCCAGGGCAACACAGAGAAACCCTGTTTTGAAAAAAAAGGGAGAGGGGTCCTCAAACCAGGCATGGTGGCACATGCCTTTAATCTCAGTACTCAGGAGGCAGAGGCAAGCAGATCTCAGGATTTGAAGCCAGCCTGGTCTACAGAGTGAGTACCAGGACAACCATGGCTATACAGAGAAACTGTCTAGAAAAAAAAAAGAGAGAGAGAAAAAGAAAGGAGACCTACTTGGGAGAACCTGCATCAACCCTGCCTTTACCTCCTGAATGCAGGGATGATAGGCACGAGCCACCACGCCCAGCTAGCCCTGGGTTTTAATTTGATACCTGACCACAATGTGAGGATACCTGAATGTCCCCCACCCAAACCTCCTGCTAAGGGTTATAGGGACAGATGAAGGATTCCTAAAGGAGTGAACCCCACGGATTGCTGTGCAGATCCAAAAAGACCTAAAGACAACTACTGAGCCTAAGGAAGAGGAGGTGGTTGGGAGAGTAATATGGCTCTTCCTGGCTAGAAACCCTGAAGTGGCTAGATCTGGATCCTAGAGTCACCAGGCTCTCTTCACAGAGAAAGGGGAATATCTTAGGTGTGTCAGAAGATGATCTGTCTCTCAGAGGCCTGGGTATGAATGGCCCCTTGGTCAGATTCCCCAGGGTCAAACTGCACAGCCCCTCCCTGCTATCCTGAAACCCTGAGTTTGGGAAGCAGAGACTGACCACATCAATGTCCTACTTTGCTGGATCCCTCTGTCCCAGGAGGTGCCCAATGGTCATGACACTTGTCTGTGAGGATGACTCCTAATGGAGAGCTCAATGCAGACATATTCCCTATGGAAGGAATTCCCCCCTTGTCCCTCCTCGCCATCCCAGAAGACTCCAGCCCACACACCCAGGCTCCTACCTGACTGGAACTGCAGCGCTCACTCAGCAGGCCCACCTCCACCTGGGGTGCAAGCATTTATAGCTGGGCTCTACAACTGCCTGAGGCTGGCAAATATTTGGCAACGGCATTGTCATCGCAGACTGGGCAAACATATCCCGTTTGCTTTAGCGCCCAGCAACCAGAGCTCCGCGGGGGGAGTGCCCGAAGACTGCCTCACCTGCACGCAGCCTGCCTGGGGACCATGGAGTGTTTGCCTCAGGCCCAGCTGGCCCACACCCTGGACCCGAGGACCCTTATCTGTGCTGCTGATTGGGGCCCCATCCAAGCCTTGTCAAATAGGCGGAAAATTAAATTTCATGCTATTTTGAGTTCTGGAGTACGCCTCTCCAGAGGACATCCTGCCTGCAGTGCATGCTATAAACTACGCTATGTAGCAACAGGACATGGAGCAGGGGGAAGGTACTGAGTATATGCAACCATCCACCATGTCCAAGACAGGAGCTAACACTTGCAGCCCTTGTGATCCCTTCCAAGCTCCTCCAGTCTCTGGGCCTTTGTGCAGCTGAAATCAGCCATAATCATGTCAACCAACCCAGTAAAGACTGTGAGGACGACTCTCATGGTGGCTGCCACCCACTTGCCCAGAAACCCAGCTGTAATTGTAGTCAGACTGCTTAACCAACTGCTTTCCTGAGCATCCTTTGTGGGGTTGGCACAAGGCACCTCCATTCTCTGGTTGGAAGCCTTCTGGATGCTCCTGCACCTAAGCAGAGTCGGGGGGCTCTAATGTCTGCCTGCTGTCTCCAGTACTCCTGAGGTCCTCTCTGCCTTTCTGGTGGTGTATTAGCTTCCTCTGGCTTCCTTAATCACTGATCTCAAAGTGGGTGGTTTTAGAACAACAGGACATTGTTCTTTGTCCTCCTGGAGGCCAGAGTCCAAACTGAGATGTCAGCAAGGCTGGTTCCTTCTGGAAAGTTGAGGAGATCCTAGGGCTGCCAGCCACTTGGTATTCCTTATCTTGAAGCCTGTCATTACCATCAATGCTGTCATCTTCACACAGGCTTTCACTTTTTTTTTAATAAAAAAAGGGACATCAAATTTAATTTGAAGAAAAACAACTTGAAACTGCAAGAACAATGGGCAAACCACTCCTGAAAAGAGCAGAGTGGTTACACTGACAGGAGGGCTGGAGAAAAAGGAATGTGTCATTTTAGCTGGAGAGGTTATAAGTTACTTGCAAATAAACTTCTTTGAGGGTGGAGGGATCTCAGGTCATTTCTGACTATCAGAATGCATGTGAGTGTTCTGTACATCTCCATAGGCAAAGTCTCCATTTTCCTACACAGGACCATCTTCTGTCTTAGCCAACTTTCAGTGAAGGGGCAACTAGAACAACACCATCTCCCCAGATGAAGAGCATGGGGATGTTCCATTTTGTTGATTTATATATCTCTTCATATGTCTCTTCATCAGTCTCTATCATTGTTGTCACAGCTTCTTCTATGTCTCCCAGGATCATATTTAAATGTTGTTCATAAGCACATAATCTGCCTCGAAGCTCTCGGGCGTTTCTCATCTTCACATAAAGTCCCTCATCCAAACTGAGCCTGATGAGATCCAGGACTCCTCTACGGTACTGGCAGTCTGCTACTGATCTACATGGTCCGCCATGTTTCCAGGCTTTCACTTAAAAACAAAACAAAACAAAACAAAACCTTGGAACAAGGTCTTGCTATATAGCCTATGCTGGCCAAAACCTAGTGGCCATCTGAGTGCTGGGATTGCAGGCATATACTACCATGCTTGGCTTGCAACTTTTACAAGGGTGTTTACTGGTGGCTTTAGGGCTACCTTAATCCAGCACACCCTAAGCTTCACTAGTCACAGCAACAAAGACGTTTTCCCAAATATATTCACATCCTGTGGTTTAGGGTGGACATGCATTTAGTGGGGACACTATTCTAGCTGATCCAGGTACTCTCCAGGAAGAATGTGTCCCCTGGGGCACTCAGCTGCCCTGAAGTAGCCCCCAGTGAATTCGAGTGTCAACTATGGCTCCTTCTGCTGGGGCTAGTTCCAAGGACAGGAAAGTGTCTCCTCACACCATAGCTTTCACTATCTTGGGCCCAAAGCACTCGATGAGTGTCTCTAAGGCCAGCACTTCACCTGACTGGGGAGCTAAGAGGGGTGTGGCTAACATTTACCTTTCCTGGCCCCTTCCTTGTTCCAGACGCCACCCCTACCTTAGGCAAGGACAGCACTTTATTTCAAGCCAGCTTAACCCTCTTGGGAACCTAATCTCCAGGCTGAGGGTATGTTCCCCGACACTCCCAACACACTACAATGGCCTTCAGCCTTTTCCTGCCCCAAGAACATACTTGATGGCTTTAGTCAGTTTGTGCTTTCTAGAGGGTAAGAGGTTAGGGGAACCAACCCTAAAGATACTCCACACCTGGTCACTGCAGTCAGGACCCCTCACCCAGCATGGGAAAGCCATAGGGAAATGAAAAGTCCTAAGAATGAGAACCTCTAAGGGCTAGGCTGAATTGGGAATGTACTGAAATTGGTAGGTTGCTTACATAGTGTACCCAAAACTCAGGGTTAGATCCCCAATGCCATATGAACTGTGTATGATGCTGCATGCCTATAATCCTAGCACTGAGAGGTGGAGGCAAGAGATTCTGAAGTTCAAGGTCATCCTTAGCAAGTTCAAGGCCACACTAGGCTACAAGGAAGGGACCCTGTGACAAAACAGCCTGTAGGCAAGACGGACACTTTGTCTTGAATGTCTAGAAAGCTGCTCACATCTAAAGACTAGGTTGTATGCCTGGAGCTGGTCCCTGTAGAAGGTCAGCATGGGGCAGACCACCTATAGAACTTACAGGACACTGGAAGACTTGGGGAAGGGGATGGCATAGATACTGCCAGTTCTGACCTCGTCTACCTCTTTTCAGGCAGGAAACTTGGGCATGTCCCCAGCGAGTACCAGATGAGACTTTTGCCATGGAGTGAAGTATGCCTGGCTAGGGCCAGCTCTGAATGTCCATTCTACTCTGAATTCCATCTACTTCTGCCCCAACGGTCTGACCATTCCAGACTCCAGCATCTAAAAACATATGCCAGTCTTGGCTGTGGGTGGCACTGCTTCAGCCTCCGTCCACTCCCTTCTCACCCACCGAAGCCCGAACCTGCAGGAGGGCCAGGCAGGGGGGAGTGGAATGCAGTTGCCCTGAGCTGAAGCCACATCACCCTCTACTGCTGGGTGGGAGAAGGACATGTTGGCCCAGGAAAGGGATGGAAACAGGCAGATGACATCACTGACAGGTGGGCCTGGGGTCTACAGCTGCATACCTGCACCTTGCTGGGGGTAGCCAGGGCTTCAGGGAGTTGGGTAAAGTACCTCCCAGAAGGGCATGTGAGGTGTGACCTGCATTCCACCCAGCACTGGTGGCAGGGAAAGACATCCTGAGGCTGTGGGTGCAGACCGTCACTGGCTCACTTGGTCAAGCCTTGGTCACTTTCTGGACCTCAGGCTAGGTGCTTCAGGGGGAGGAAATGCAACACAATTCTGCTCAGGAGAAGGGCCCACCTGTGTGGCCAAAGAATGGGCTTTGGAAGAGCTTGGTGTGAGGTCAGAGATGTAAATGGATGAGCTGAGGCAGGCAGAGTGTCCCAGCAGAGGAGAGTGTCTGAAAAGATTGAGCCATCACCAAGGAGCTAGAATCCCCAAGGTCATCACAGAGTTGTCACCATCTCTGAGGCTAGAAGATGCTTTCATTGCTGGCTTGATAACGGAAAGGGACATGAGCCGAGGGATTCTGGGACTTTCAGAAGCTGGAAAACATAAGGAATCCAGTATTCCTTGTAGGTTCTGGAATGTCATCTGATGCTTAGTTTCAAATCAATAAAACTGCCCTGGACCCCAAACCCTTCTCGGGATTCCCACATAAGCTAATAACTGACACCATGAGCATTGGCACAACAGGAGCACCACAGTGAGAGTCCTGGCTGCACATGGGCTGGATGGGTTTGTGGGACCCTGTGGCTCCCAGCATGGGGATCCTCTGTACCAATGTCCTAGTTAAGGTCATGCTCAGGTGAGGTCAAGAACTCCAGAGCTGCCAAGCGGTGGTGGCACACACCTTTAATTCCAGCACTCACGAGGCAGAGACAGGCAGATCTCTGAGTTCAAGGCCAGCCTGGTCTACAAAGTGAGTTCCAAGGCAGCCAGGGCTACACAGAGAAACCCTGTCTTCAAAAACCATAACAGAAAAAAGAGAGAGAACTCAGTGCCAAAATCTGGCTGTGGTGGTACATGACTGTCATCTTAACTCTAGGGAGGCAGAGATTGGCAGACCCTAGGATCCAACTATCCTAGACTTCTTGAGTTTCAGATCAGTTGGGACTGTCAGAAAATAAAAAAGGTAAGGCTGGGTGTGGTGGCGCAAGACTTTCATCCTGGCACTTGGGAGGCAAAGCTAGGCAGATCTTTGTGAATTTATGGCTAGCCTGGTCCACATAGTGAGTTCTAGGGCAAGCCAGAGCTACATAGAGAGACCCTGTCTCCAAAATGAATAAATTAAATAAAAATAAATGAAAAGGTAAACAGCATCTAGAAACCACACCTGAAGTTGTCCTCTGGTCTCCACACACGCGTGGACACATTCACATGTGCCCTTCTCACATCCATGCACCTCCCACTACACATGCACACATCAGTTCACATGCACAAGCTCACATACAAGGAAACCAAAGAACACCAGAGCCTCAGCGTCTCCTCTGTGTCACTCCCTAGGTCTGCCTCCTCCCCAGTGCTCAGCTTTTACCATAGCCCACTATACACCTTCACCCCTCCCCCCTGTCTAACTCAGACATTGAACTTTGACAGCTTTAGGTCCTGACCTGACCAAGTGCAGAGATGTTCACTGGTACTGGCTGAGAGGAAGGTGTGCATGGACAGGGCCCTATCCTTATCCTGCAGTCATTTTGACACTCTTCACTGCCTGGCAAGAGACAGGGAGAACCACAAGCTAGGATGGAAGGTTCTAAAATGGGGAGAAACCAGAGCATATGGTTGTCTGGAAAGAGAAGCCTAAGAGGGGCCTATGGGGCTGGCATGGGGGTGGGAGGCCTGAGGGAGGAAGCCACACGGGCAGACTGATAGTGTCAATGTAGGGACGATCTGGAGACTTAAAGGGCTTCTTCACCCCTGCTGGGCTGCCAGCCATGTTCATGGCAGACCATGTGTCCTGCAGGTAGAGGCTGAACTGCAGCTTCTGTTTCTGGTAAGGCTTGGTTGAAGACCTCTGGGTCAGTGGAGAGACACACTTTCCTAGAATGGTTGCCTTATATGTCTAGATGGCAGTTAGTGAGTGGACAAGGCCAGGCCAAGCCCCTGTCATCCTGGCCTTGTCATCTGCCATTTTGGGACTCTGGAGTTGGCTGGGGCTGAAGCATATGTCCTAGCATCTGCCCCAAACTGGGCAATGTTTTGGGTCAGGCCCAGCAAATCTCCTTGCCCGCTGTCTCCTAACTTTTACCAGTGAGGACCTACTGTTAGGCCTCAGACCCTGGAAGAGCAGAATCAGCTCTTACAGACCTGCCTATCCCCAGGCACCTGGTATCTATTTTCCTGGGAAAATCAATAGCTCCAATATGTCAGCTCTTAAGTGGAGCTATAATAAATTACCCTGCCATTAAGCACACTGACGGCTGCCGCCTCTGCCTCCCCATTAGGGAGACATTAAGTTTCCTGTGAAATTTCTCTGTGTGCTTTACAATAATGAGGGCTGAGGTGTTTATGTTCCTGAGAGATAAGACAAAGGCTTCACATACAGTTGGCGGAATATTACATCTTGGAGCTTGTACTATAGGGCTGCATCTTCTCCAGATTCCTGGCCAGACTCCTGTAGCAGAACCTGCTAGGAAGAGCTAGGAACCTCCCAAAGAAGTCTGTGGGAGGATGGTTGGTTCAGGAGCCAGTGGCTGAGAAATGGGCTCCAAGGATACAGGGCATGGCCCTGGACCAGATGCTTTCAGGAACAGGGTGATGTGAAGGTGATGTCTGTATCAGTTGCTGGAGTCCTGTGACTGAGCACCGTGAACTTGGTGACTTAGAACAACAGACATATGGGGCTGCAGAGATGACACAGCAGTTCAGAGCACTTACTGTTCTTACAGAGGACCGCGTTCTGTTCCCAGCATCCACACAGTGGCTTACAACCATCTCTAACTCCAGTTCCAGAGGATGTAGCACTCTTTTCTGGCCTCCATAGGCACCAGGCACACACACATATATTCATTCATTGAAAAACACATACACATGAAATGGACATTTTTTGAGGCAGGGTTCTCTGTGTAGTCCTGGCTGTCATGGAACTCACTCTGTAGACCAGGCTGGCCTTGTACTCAGTGATCTGCCTGCCCCTGTCTCCCAAATGCTGGGGTTAAAGGCATGTGCCACCACAGCCTGGCTGAAAATTTTTAAAATCAAAAGAGAGGATGTAGTGGGGCATTGGTGTCGCACGCCTTTAATCCCAGCATTCTAGAGGCAGAGGCAGGTGGATCTCTGTGAGTTCGAGGCCAGCCTAGTCTCCAGAGTGAGTGCCAGGATAGGCTCCAAAGCTACACAGAGAAACCCTGTCTCGAAAAAACGAGAGAGAGAGAGAGAG